TAACAAATTGTGAGAAAATAAATTTCAAGGAGCTCTGGTAGCGTAATGCCTAATACACTTGGCTGCTAACCAGAAGGCTGGCGATTCAAACCCACCAGCCATTCCTCGTAAGGAAGGTTGGGCAATCTACTTCCATAATGATACTGCCTCGGAAACCCAAGGAAGGGTCGCTATGAGTCAGATGTGACTTGACAGCAGTGGGTTTGGTTTTTTTAATTATTCCAGATTAAACAAGACAAAAGAGATATGACAAATGTAACACAAGATACTGAACTTATAAACAACATTATTGGGAGAATCATGGAAATATGAATAAGGGGATTAGATGGTAATATTGACTCGATGTTAAGCTCCTGATTTTCAAGTTTTATTTTGGTTATGCAGGAGAATACTCTTACATTTAAGAAATAAACTCAAGTATTAACTGCTCAGAAATCCTTTAATGGTTTCCAATTATATTTAAACTTACATCCAAAAATACTGACAAGAACTTGCATTATCTTCCTCCAACTCAACTTTCCCATTTCATCTCAGAATATTCACTACCATCATTTTAGTTCCTAAATTCTATGCTCTCTCCTAACTCACAGCTTTCCCCTGTTTATTTCTCTTTACCTGGTAACTTTTCCCAACACCTTTTTGACATGTCCTCAAAGAAGCCTTTCCTCGTATATTTATACAACCATGTTCGAAGTGCTTACTATGTGCCAAGCAGTTCTAGGACACAGGAACTCAGTAGTAAAGAAAACATTTAAATATTTGTGTCCGAGTGAATAAGGAAAACCACAGAAGAATTGATGCACTTCGATTGTGGTGCTGGTGAAGAATATCAAATGTACCATGGACTGCTAAAAGAACAAAAATATATGTCTTAGAATAAGTACAGCCAGAATGCTCCTTAGAAGCAAGAATGTCTAAACTTCATCTCTCGCACTTTGGTCATGTTGTTAGAAGGGACCAATCCCTAGAGAAGGGTATCATACTGAGTAAAGCAGAGGGCCAGCAAAAAAGAAAGATTGACAAAAGAGGCTGCAATGACGGGCTCAAGCCTAACAACAATTGTGACAAAGTCGCAGGACCAGGCAGTGTTTCATTCTTTTGTTCACAGGCTCACTAAGAGT